TTTAGCATCCTTGCTGCTTTCTCGCTTCATCACTTGCTTAGGAAAACCCCAACCACGATTAAACCCAACTAACCTTACTACAGTCCCTGGTGGTGCCAATGGTTAAGCACGTGGATGCTAATGGAAAGGTTGGAGGTTCAACTCCACCTAGAGGCATCTCAAAAGAAAGTCCTGGCGAGCTACTTCTGAAAGACTGGATTGCAACTTTTTTTTTAACTTTTTAACCTTACTCTATCCCTGCAGTTGAACAGCTGCAGTAAAACTCACACCAATTTGCCTGCTCTGTCTTTACATTTATGTCCAAAATATCTAGATGGCATTTAACACTGCTCACTATTCCTAATATACTTCCCTAATGTCTTCAGTCTCTGCCTCTATAAAACCACCATTTTCCGTTTCTCCCTACTCTTCAAATCTCCTAAACTTCCTTTTCCCTCTATGCTCGTCTTTTTTTTTACTGTTGTAGTTTAAGTGAAAGTTTTACATTTCAAGTTAGTTTCCCATACAAAAATTTATACATGCATTGTTATGCGACCCTATTGCTCTCCCTATACTGTGACAGCACACCCCTTTCCACCCGATTCCCATGTCCATTCAACTAGCTCCTAACCCTCTCTGCCTTCTTATCTCCAGACAGAAGCTGCCCATCTAGCCTCACGTATCAACTTAAGCTAAGCACACTCTTCATGAGTATCATTTTATGTCCCACAGTCCAGCCCAATCTTTGTCTGAAGAGTTGGCCTCGGGAATTGTTTTAGTTCTGGGTTGACAGAGAGTCCGGGGGCCATGCTTTCTGGGATTCCTCCAGTCTCAGTCAGACCACTAAGTCTGGTCTTTCTATTACAATTTGAGTTCTGCACTCACCTTACTCCTGCTCCATCAGGGACTCTCTGTTGTGTTCCCTGTCAGGGCAGTCATTGGTGGTAGATGGGCACCATCTAGTTCTTCTGGTCTCAAGATGATGCAGTCTCTAATTTATGTGCCGTTTCTGTCCCTTTCTGTTTCCTTGTGTCTTTGGTGTTCTTCATTCTCCTTTACTGAGACCAGTGGATGCATCTCAGATGGCTGCTCACTAGCTTTTAAGACCCCAGATGCCACTCACCAAAGTAGGATGCAGAACATTTTCTTAATAAACTTTGTTATGCCAATTGACCTAGATGTCCCCTGAAAGCATAGTCCCCAGACCCCTGCCCCTGTTACTCTGTCCC